CTTTTTTATTTATGGAAGAATTTAAACGAAATTTGATACAGAAGCACTTCGAATAAAGAAAATCAAACGCCAATTTCAAAATTTGGTTTTGCGCATGCGCAGTGCCAACTTTTTTATTTATGGAAGAATTTAAACGAAATTTGATACATAGCACTTGGGATAAAGGAAAATCAAACGCCAATTTCAAAATTTGGTTTTGCGCATGCGCAGTGCCAACTTTTTTATTTATGGAAGAATTTAAACGAAATTTGATACATAGGCACTTGGGATAAAGGAAAATCAAACGCCAATTTCAAAATTTGGTTTTGCGCATGCGCAGTGCCAACTTTTTATTTATGGAAGAATTTAAATGAAATGTGATACATAGGCACTTGGAATAAAGGAAAATCTAGCGCCAGTTTCAAAATTTTATTTTGCGCATGCGCCGTGCCAACTTTTTTATCTATGGAACTATTTAAGTGAAATTTGATACTTAGGCGCTTGGAACAAAGGAAAATCTAACATTAGTTTTAAAATTTAGGTTTGCGCATGCGCAGTTCCAACTTTCTTATTTAGAAAAGCATTGAAATGAAATTCTTCTCATAAACTGAAATTAAAGTAGCACGTCAACAATTGATTGCCCATGTGCAACGCTATCTTTCATATTTGTGGGCGGATTTTTACGATTTTAACAGAAGTTGCATCTTACAAATGGGAAATGAATGCAAGTGGAAATGCGCTTTATGTAAATCGTTTACGATTACTTTTTAACTTGTTTACTTTTGTTTGTGTTTATTACTAATGATTCAATTATTTTCTACATTTATAGAGTCAAGCAACGTTGCTCCCGGTTAATACATAATAGGTACTCGCATTTGAATGGGTAATCACTCCAAAACTTGACTCGTTAATAGGTGGGTTACTATTTGGCAAAAATCCGGCCCGATATTGTTCGTTTCCGTATGCCTAATGTTATAAACATTATCCACAGAATTTTACCTATGCAAAATTTGAACGAGTCGAGCCAATCTCGGAAAATTGCCAAGGCACGCACGCAGGCACGTACGTAAAAGATTTTATTATTTTAAATGGTCCATTTGGGTTCTAATAACATGGGTTTGAAGAATGCACACCAATTTTTTTCCGGCGCAACTTTTGGCAGCCAAAAAATCCCAAAATGTTTGCACTTTTTTCAGTTTTCGCTTAAAACTCGAAAACGGGCCATATTTTATGAATAACACTTCTTTAGTGAAAAAAGAAAACGAAAAAGTTCTGCGTCGATTAAAGGATGAAATAGGTTCAATAGAAAAATTGTTAAAAGCGATCAATAAACACCCATTTTTTCCAACTTTTCTAAAAAACTGAGTTAACCTTTTTTTAATGCGTTGTGGCTCCTAAAGGAACGGTAAAATACACTACCCCCTTCCTAAAGATTGTAGGACATCCAAATTCAAAAAGTACCAAAAATTTAAAATTGAACCAATTTTTGAAATTTGTTGGAAACTATTGAATGAGCCGGAATGAACAAGACTCATCCAAATTGCTTGAATGGCTCTCCCAGCACCATTCCATTCCATTATACATTTTGCAAAATGCCGCAGTTTGCCGGTAACATATATAAATTGTAAGGTGCTGCGTCATGAAAACAGCAACCCTAAGAAAATTGTTTTGGGTGCAATGCTGGCCAAAACCACGTCTTTTGTTCAAGTTACTAATGATTTTGAACATTTTCGACCTTCCACATTATTTCAAGTTATTTCTAAATTGTAAGGTACTTGTCTTTAAGAAACACACCAAAACTTCTATTCCTAAAACATCGTTTCTGGTTGCGTTACCAATAATAATTTCATGTCCGAAATTCCTTAACTAACACGCTTCAACTACAGTATTTTTAGTTAATTTTCATATAAAATTTAATGAACTTGGTTTGATAAATATCTCCCGAAATTTAAAACACCTGTAAAACCGTCGTTTTAGATGTTACACTTACCCAAACCACGTCTTTACGCAATGGGCTAATGAATTTGAATTTTCTACAGCATTTCTAATGTGATTTACAACATCCCTAGGGGCGTCGTTTGTGGATCCAAAAAGCACCTCCTTGGGTAGGAATTTTACAGATCAGAAAGGCGAAACCTGTGTATAGCCGCAAGTTCAATCGTTCCATTTGTCATGGTTGCCGAGACAAATACCATTAAACACTCATGCAAGAGGTAATAATACAAGTTCTGGTCTGAAAATGCGAAAAAATGGAAATCCACTTTTCGATTCTTCAACTCTAAAGAAGTTTGTGAATACGTTGATATATTGAATGAAATTTTGGACCAATTAAATGCCTCTAATAAGAACCCGGATTTAACATGAATAGGTACAGAGAGAAAGAATGAAATTGCTAGTCACCCTTTTCGTATAGTTTTTAGGTATGATGTGACACAATAATCTTGAGTTGCATGTTTCGATTTCAAGATTTCATTTTGCGAAGGTATTTGGTTCACTTGTATCAAATTAATTCAAAATTACTAAACTCTGCGACAATTATTATTAAAGCTAATAAAACGGAAAATGTGGTTTTTGATTATCAACAGACTTCTAAACACCTGTTTAAAATGCCGACGCCGCCGACGCAATGGACTACACATGTGTTTCCAATTTTAGACTCCGATAGATAAGATGATTGTAATTTTATTGTCGTGTATACCTAAATTTTAGATTTGGAAAATGATTGATTGAAACTAACGGCAGTTACATGTGTGGAGGTAAATTTCCATACATAATTTAGTCACACTTTACCTATTTTGGAGTTGGACACTCCAAAATCATTTTGCATTGTCTGCCCAATGTTAAAATGTAAAAATCCAAATTACTTACTGCATTTTGCGCGGTAGCTAATCTGTGCTTGTCAAAATTCACCCTTACCTTTCTTGCTTTCGGTACCTGGCACTCTCCTTCGAACCATTTGGAATTTTTGGAGACCATTCCGCACAAGATACACTGCACTTCGCGTTAACACGATCGAATGATTTGGTCATAAGTTATATTTTTGATGGATGGGCGGTAACTAAGCAGGTATAGAGATTAATCACCTGATGCGCTTATCTGCACATGCGGTCACTTTTACCTTTCAATAATTGTTTTGCCGTACCGAATGAAGTCGTTCCTCATAAAATATGACATGTGTTCTAAATTAATTTTCCTTCTCACATGGAAAAACCCAAAATCTGACTTTCCTTGTCTACCTTCCAATTGCATTTTGTCACTGAAATAGCTTTCTTTGGCTCGTTCAAAAATAAACTTTAGCTTCTAATTGTTTTACTCAATATTGCCACTCAGTATTTGAAATGTAACAATCGCAAATATTGTTATTAATTTATAATACCTACCTGTGAGAAGGTGCGTGACGAAGCTTGGTTTTTCTATATGAAAAAGCGGCGGTAGTAAAGTATGAGGAAGAATTTAAGAAGATTTCGAAAGGATTTCTGAGGATTTATAGGGAATTTAATCCGATTTCAGGGATTCCCGTGGCAGTCCAGGAATTGACGGGGAGCTTAAGGGATTTCTTTGATCGCTTGTAAAAATTGTTATATTGGAGCGATTTTGTTTGTTCATCTTTTGATCGGCGCAGAATTGTGTTTTCTGTAATTTACTAAAGTGTTATTCATAAAATATGGACCGTTTTCAAGTTTTAAGCGAAAAACTGAAAAAAGTCTGAACATTTTGAGGTTTTTTGGCTGCCACAAGTTGTACCGGGAAAAAATTGGTGTGCACTCTTCAAATCCATGTTATTTGGACTCAAATGCACCATTTAAAGTGATAAAATCGTTTACACCATCTTTTGCAGGAATCGGCCCTTCTGACTGCTCCACATACTGGACTAACAGTCAATAATGAAAACAAGCACGTGATGTGTAATGTACATACGCAGTGCCGGATTTAGTTCATGGACCGCCGGGGACTAAGTCGTACTATACCGCCAGTCAGTGGCGGCTGGGTCGGCGGGCAAGTGCCCGGTGGGCCGCTGTACTTAGGGCCGGCGCCGGTGCGGTCAGGGGTCGTACGGTGTCAGGTGCCCCCCCCCCAAAAAAACTACATTTGTAATCGATTTTGGAATAAGTGCAAATGCTTTAAAATGCTATTTTAGGGGGTTACTTTGGAGAAAAATTTCGGGTATAACCAACCCCCCGTTATGTGGCCGGTGCTGTTCGGTTGCCCGGGAAAACACTTTTTCTTATTAATTTTGGTGCGTAGAATCCAAAACAATTCGTACTTTTTCGATCAGACTTCTCAATCAAAAGTTATAGACTAGAAACCAATTTCGAAAGAAAATTCAAAGGGCTGTAACTTTTGAACTAGTAGCCCAATCTTGGAACTGTTTGAAATTATGGATTCTACAGGCCACATTCTATAAGAAAATTCTTTTTCCGGGTCGATCTGAGACAATTTTTTTTGCGGGCCTCAAAAAAAGGCAGTGTATAACCTTCCTTTTTTACCAAAAATCGACTGCACCAAAATTTCTCGGGAAAACACTTTTTCTTATTAATTTTGGTGCGTAGAATCCAAAACAATTCGTACTTTTTCGATCAGACTTCTCAATCAAAAGTTATAGACTAGAAACCAATTTCGAAAGAAAATTCAAAGGGCTGTAACTTTTGAACTAGTAGCCCAATCTTGGAACTGTTTGAAATTATGGATTCTACAGGCCACATTCTATAAGAAAGTTTTTTTCCGGGTCGATCTGAGACAATTTTTTTTTCGGGGCTCAAAAAAAGGCAGTGTATAACCTTCCTTTTTTACCTTTTTTACCAAAAATCGACTGCACCAAAATTTCTCGGGAAAGCACGTTTTCTTATTGTTATTAATTTTGGTGCGTAGAATCCAAAACAATTCGTACTTGTCGCCAGTAGATAGGGAAAAAAAGCTGAACCTTGGGGTTTTTTGTAATACTTCATTTAATTTTGGTTGTTTCTCTAAGTGTGGTCTTACACAGAGCCCGTAGGCACCGCCACTGGCAGAATAACTTTCACCGTTGACGTTGAATGAAGCTTCAACATCCTATCGATAGGCAACTCATAATACATACGCGTTTAAATATGTCCTGCCGTTGTAAAACTGTAAACAAATACCTATTTACAATCGTCGTACGGTACGTTTGTTAAACATTTATGGGAAAAAGGTGAGTGAAATTTAAATTTATTTAAGGTGGATAAGAAATAAATAATATTCCAAATGCGCCCCACTAATTGTAAGGGTAATTGGGGCTAATTAACGCCTTTGAATTGTTATAGTATTAGTAATACATTCACCACGCCCCAAAATTAAATCCATTTGTGTTTCCACAGGAAGCAGAAAACTCTCCCCATGTGTTAAACGAGAGCGATGTCTGCAGATATTTTCCAAAACCGAGACGCCTACCTGCAGAACACATACTTTCAACATCACAAACGAGAATACGGCGACTACACCGCGTTCTACATAACCGTTGCGATTTGTACAGTTTTGTTCACCTTTATACTTGTACTAAACATCGTGCTCGGTTGCTGTTCCCGTTACTCAACTTACTGGAACGACCGACATACAGGTAAGTGGAAATTTGGAAACCAGGACACTTTGATTTGTGAAAATTGTAGGAAATCGGTGGCTAGTTTCGCTCTGGACCGCAACCCCCCACAATCAGCCATCGTTAGACTACACCGAACTGCAGTGGGTCCACAGTGAAAAACCCAAAGCGTACAACAACTACCCCCAGCCACCGTCGCCTTTACAGCCACGAAAAGAAATAGGATTCATCTATTCACCTCCACCTCAACAACCGGTCGAGCCGGAATTATTCGAACTTCAGCAAAAGCGTGAAAGCGCAATTTAAGCACAATGTTCTACATCTACTGGCCTTTGACCGCCTTTCTAACTCTATTCCTCGTAGTAGGGGCCATCATCATACTGTTAAGATTCGGGCCGGTCATCTGCAGAACTCGCCACGTCACGCTACCCGATCGTGACGATTGGCAGCACAGAATGTACTCGCAACAAATCGGCTTTGAAAGCCTCGCCTAAATTGCGATTACATCTTGATGGGTCTAAAAAGAGAGGATGTAATCGCAATAAGTAATTTTTAATGATTTAAGATGCACAATTACTAATAGTGTCTTGCACCACTGATAATTATTGTAATGTAAATCCGTCCATTTTTGTAACTTTTATAAATTTTTTAACGATGTAGTTTATACAACTGAAATATACATTTTTTATTCACCGTTTGCTTGCTTTGTGGATTTTTATTGTCAAAAAACATGAATCTTGGAAATATAATTATTGTTACACAAATACCTAAGGTAGCCACACATAGGCCAGTTCAGTAAATATTCTGAATTTGACAATCTTTGTTCATATATGCACTGTGCCGGAGATCAAGAGGGGATTCTAGAAAAGGTAAGATACAAATCTGGTTAAATTGGAAGAAAAGTTGTGCAAGAAGATAGCATTTAGAAATTTTTGAAAAATTTTTTTGTTTTTGAAATTTTTTTATTCAACGTTTCGTCCTAGGTTTCGTCTTTGCCATCATCAACTTAATTTTTACCACCCATACGTTCGTATGGGAGGTATTGCATTGGGGTAAAAAATGACTACTTACTTGTTTTACGAAAATACACCAGGAAACTGAATCAAACAAGATCTTGATGATGTCGTTGTGTTTGTCTTTACATATTCTTAGACATAAAATGGAGAGCTCAAAAGCTTTTGGGGAGAACACACATGATCAGGTATGCGGGTGTTAATGTGTGGTAGCCACAGCAAATTTTTTAAATACAGCCCTGGTATATTCCAATATATTTTTAAAGCCCTCTTTACCACCCGCACGTTAGTATAAAGAAGATATTATTGCAATGGGGTCCCCCCCACTTTTTTTTATGGTATGTCACTCTGTCTGTATTCTCATTTCCGCCTAAAACCCGATTGGAACCACATTATATTCTTAGACATAAAAGGAAGAGATGAAAAGCTTTAGACAGAATCGCGCAGGTGTGGGGGTGATATCTGAGCTAGCCAGCAAATTTTTAACTTCCTAGCATGAGCTAGGTAGCTATTGCGATTACCGTTTCTTGGACATATCAAAATGTCATCAAATGTCGACGTTTTACATCATTTTAAGCAACTTTTAAAGAATAAAATTTTTTCCGCCTGTATGTACGACATTGGCAATTTTCCAAGGTAACAGCTCGACCTATTCGGTTATAAATTTTGGATGTGTATATTAGGCATATGGAAACTAAAAATAACGAGCCGGATTTTTGAAACAAAATATTGAAATGCCACAACGGCATTCAAAAAGCCTTATTTTTCTGTGTACAACCTACAAAAATTGTGCCAGGGTTTATATTACAAAAAAACGGAGAAAAAATGTTTAAAAAACTAAAATATTTTTTAGCAAACACTAAATTAATTCTACTAAGGAATTAAAATATTATATGTTGCCTTGTGACATTAAAATAAAATCTAAAATAAATAGACAAAACATGAACAAAAATTTTAAAAAAAGACAACGGCACGCGGTGTTCCCAAGCGGTCACCCATCCAAGTACTGACCGCGCCCGACGTTGCTTAACTTCGGTGATCGGACGAGAACCGGTGTTTTCAACGTGGTATGGCCGTTGTCAACAAAATTAGTGTTCTAAGAGAAACAATTGGAGAATCTTTTCTTTAAAAAAAAAAAAGAGCACGCGAAACACTAAGACGCAGATAAAGAATTTAAGACTCAAAAACTTTTTTTTAAATATTTGCTTTGAGCTAGGAAGCTGTTCTGTTACGAATTTGGCAACTGATTTATTCTGAATTCAACGATCTATAGGATTTTATGGTTTAAAATTGCGATTTAAATTTTTTTGGCCTAATTAAGAAAGTTCCTATTTTAAGAAGAGTACCTATTAGATGATAAGAATTAAATTAAAGACTAAGGAGAGTGATGACTGGTTCCAAAGTTTATGTAGAGATAATTAGACGGAGTTCACCATGACTTTTTGCGGATTCTAAAAATATCTTAAGCCTGATAACATTCGTAGCAGATTCTGAAGCGATTTCTATGAAAATTATGAAGATTTTAAAGACTCTATAAAGGGTTTTAGATCTAGTCTGAGCAAAGGCACTAGGTATACACATAAAATTGAAAATGGATTGAAAACGTTTCATTGGATATAGCCGACATAGGTATATCTTCAAAATTGAATTGTCATTTTCGCACATTTTTCCATATGAATTCAAGTCACTCGCAGTTTTCAAAATTCCCAGCTCGTAAACACGCAGTTTTTCATTCATTTATTATAAAAGCATACATTTTAAACCAGGTAAAGCAAGTAACTTTACCGCATTTTCCATTCATAGATCAGTAGGTACTTCCCAAAAAGCCATACCTACCCATGTGCGCTGTTTTTCTTTATATATAGAAGCCTCTATAGACTATGGCTTCAAAGAAAATGTCTCCATCAATAAAAAATTGGCATTGTGCAATACTGCGCATGCGCACATCTGATTTTTACGATAATGTGATATTTGCGTTTACTATAGAAGCATCTGCGGTTAAAATGTCAAAAAATATCTCTATAAATAAGGAAATCGACATCGCGTTAGAAAATGCGCTAAAAATGAAGCTTGCGTTGTTTTACTTTTTGTTCATGCCGTGATAGTAAGCATATAAATTGAATGAGTAGATAGGTTCGTGGTGGCTCAGCTTACCTCTATCATAATTTCATACCACTGCCATATGGAAATCGAATTGTGCAAACTTTAACGCTTTAAATTTTTTGCAGCCACATATAATTCATAAATCCGTAAGCGTCATTTTATTGTGCGAGTGCACGCGACATAAGTTCAAAATTAAATTCAATAAAGAAAGGCATACAAAATGTAATAAAGTATATCTGCGATTCAGCAGCGCGATAGTCGCAGGACTAAAAATCTAATGCGAAAGCAGATTTATACTGCTGCTCATGAGAGAGCCCTTTTAAGTATATTCCATAAAATGCATAAGGCTAGCAATCTGCTTTGCTGTGTATATCTTGTGTAAATATGTAACGCTGTGTATGTATATAACAGCCAGGAAGTCTTCGACTTCGGTTAACAGTATGTAAACCTGAGCAGTTTGGCCCAGATAACATTGCATTTTCTTAGAAAATCTTTTACCATGCTAGAAAGTATGTGAATATTCCAAACATCCTATAGTCTCGCATACTCTAAGAATATTGAGCAATGAATATACTGAGAACACAACAATAATATATTCCTTGTTATTCGGTATTGAATATTCCGTTACAAAATTTCCCGAATGTACAGGAAGTATTCGTTTTGTCACAATTATGTCATTTTCAAGCCTTAATTACAATACACAAATTTCTCTTTTAGCTAACTGGTTTATGTCGAGAATATCCCATATAGTATATGTATCTAGCATGCAAAGAATATTCAGAATACATTTTACATTATTCTCAGAATATCTGGGATATTCCCATTCGCATATCCCTAGTACTGTATATCTTACAAGGCACATATATTCTAGGTATGTTTAATATTTTGAATATTCCTGGTATATTACAGAAATAGTGACCGTTATCTGGGGGTGTAATGGTGGATCTAGCGTTAATTTAGTTTGAAAAGTGTATTTACAGGTAGTAAACATCTTTTGTTATGTGTACCATTGATTTCATATCACAATTTGCTATTGTTTAGGTACATTTTGCATAAAATACCGATATTGCATTTCATTTGCTGATGACAATTCATTACAAGCTAGGCGACTGTACGTACCATATTATTCCAGATAGAAAAATCTTTCAAAATATTCATCAACGTCTTAGAGAAACTGGAACATTGAAAAAAAGAGGCCAAGGAGGGTGTCACCCAATAAGAAATTACTGGTGTTTTTGAAAAAATCAAAATCAAAAATCATCAAAGGATAAAACATGCTTAGAATAGACCAAGGAATTACTTTTTAACTTTTGCCGTACCATGGATAAGTGAAGTCCATTTATGTCATTAACTGTCATTACAAAACACATGCTGAGCAAACACTGTTTTGTTCCAAACTATTTTAAAAATTCCGCTCACGTGTCACATTAACCTCTAGGACAATTTGAAATGGAAAGAAAATTATTTATAAACTTCTTTATTAAAAATAATCTATGCCATTTATAATATAGACAAAAAAACTTTCATTGTATACAAAAAGAATCCCGGTCTTATAAATTCACAAAAATGAAAACAAATTCCGAAAAAAATATCGGAAATGAGTTATGAAAGAATTACGTTAAAGCTCAATTTGTATGCACTTACTTAGTCTCGTTATGCCTTTCATACAAAAATATGTCTTTCCAATGACTAAGTGCCTATAAATTGCCACCTATCACATAATTATAAAGATCCCGTAGTCTCGTAATCACAAAGTTTCCTTAAGTGCGCTTCAGCTCTCACACAAATTAAACGATTTAAAATGAAAATTCGTTGAATTATGAAATAAAAATTAAAAGCTTAAACGAGAGCTAAAACAGTTCTAACTCACACGAAATGGATAAAGGAAATGATTGGGATTTAAATAAAGCGCATTTGGTAAAGAATGACTTTATTCAAATAAACTTTCTTACATCAAAAAATGTTATCACAAATACTTCCTTAAGTTGTCTTTTACAATTAATTACTCGGTAAAAAATGTTTCTTAACCATTAAATTTATGCAAGTAACAGTCAACATTTATCATTAGGCAATAAATGTTTACACAGCATTGCAAATTTGTACTGGAGTTTGGCAAAAAAAATATATATATATGACTCTCTAAAATAAGGTGACATCCCAATCATTTCCTCATGTGATGCCGCTATTAACTATTATTACTTCTTTTTATGTGACATTGTCAGTCGGCGCTGAAGCGTTTAAGACTTCATCGTATGACTGCTCCAGACAATGCTTAAGTTCTGCGTAACTCACAACCAAAATACTTTGCTCATCTCTCGACATTAGGCA